CTCTACTGAGTCCCCAGACCATCAGATATTGCTGTCCTATGAGTCAGGCATGGCTCCAGCAGTTAGCAACTTGTACTTAGAATGTCTGGAAGATGAATCATCCCATCAGGACTCTGTACCCGGCAGGAAATTGGCGTGTGCTTACTGAACAAATGAATTTGTAAATGAGTGAGCGCATCTAAAATGAATAAATGAATGAATGCTGTTTGCCTTTGGTGAAACAGATGTCAGGGATACCTTAGAGATAATAAACCAAAAAGTCAGTCACATGTTGTACTCTAGAAAACAAATATTTGTGCTGATGTTTTATGCAGTGTGCATGTGCCATATCAGGTGGGTTCTCTTGGACAGAAAAAAGAATAAAGTTGGATAGGAAGGACAATAAAGGTGAAAGGATGGTAATAAAGACATTGGTGACTACATGTTCATCTGCGTTCTGAAAGGATAGTAATGCATGCTTTACACCATTTCTCAAGGATTAATTGGGACTCTCTTTGTCTTTTGATGAAGAGTTTTTCTTCATTCTTGAGGATTTTATACATTCCTACAAAGAATTAGGGTCATATCTACTCGAACCTCCCATTCCAGCTCCCACTAAAACTGCCCCAATCTGTCCTCCCAGGTTGTGGTCATTTATTTTATAACTCACAAAGTCCAGTTAGTGCTGCCAACTGGGACCAGAACTGTGTGGGTTCAAATCCCTCCTCCACTACTCACTGGCAAAGGTGTGCTGGGCATTCCATGTTCTTTGGGTTTTTATTTTTCAATGAAGACTGGAGGCAGAAGTATTTACTTCTGGTGATGCTAATATTACAGCATAGGGAAAAAAATACCTCAGTGCCCAGGACAGGACAGGGGCTGGCTCCTAGAACATAGGAAAGAACTTGTGTTAAATGTCACTCACCTGTTTTTTTTTTTTCCTCCAGTGCTCCACCCACTTCAACAAACAAGGCTCTTTAAACCTCAGTGTAGGTGGTAGAAGCATTTTTCCTGGTAGAGAGTAGGGGGAGGTACTGGATGGTTTTCCTTGTGGAGCGCCAAGCAGGGGTCCTGGATGAGCCTACTGTGTGAGAGTGAATGGCTGGATGAGCCCTACTGTGTGAGAGTGAATGGCCAATCCTCTATGAGTGGGGTTCACCTACCCTGTGAGTCCTCTGCCTAGGGAGTGAAAGAGCTCAACTGGAATCGAATTCCTATGCCTGTCTGACCCTTCCTTCCCAAGCTGTTGATTGTCCCTTCCCTTTCCACCCGACCTGACACGGGCCCAAATGTTTAGCGACCTCTGTCATGTGAACTGGGCAGGCTGCCAGCAGGTCAGTGCACACATAGTTTGTGGTGCCTACCTAGAGCGTCTGAAAGATCTGTCACCATCAGGACAGGGAACGATTATGATCCGCCACCCCCCTCCTTTCTTTTAAAAGTACAGTAAGAAGTGGTGTCTTCTTCCAAGTTCTCCCCTCTTCCTGTAAAGACAGGAATAATTGAAAGGTGTTTGTTTCTTCAGATTGCAGGGCAATCTTCCGTGGCCCCAGGGGAAGAAGAAATACAAGGGTAGGACTCATGCCTCTGGAGGTCAGGATGGCCTGCTTGAGTGCTGGGTGGCATGCTTCTCATGATGTGTGTGGACATACCTGTGAAGATTCTGAATTGTCATGTACCGGTACTGCCCTGGTCACCCCAGAGGCCACCCGGAGCCACAGTTACTCTGCTCAGTGCCGTTCTCCTCACCAAAGGCACACCAATGCTACTTGCTCTTCAGGAGCTCACATTTGAGTAACCAACAATAACACCATTTGTCTGTGAGGTGGGAGAGGGAAGGGTCCTGGGGCTAAGCAGGAGCTATTAGATGGGATCCCCATGCACATGGGTTATGAACACTGATTGACTAAAGGAGGGACAGAAACGTTATCCACCCAGAATTTAGAAGCTTAAAATATAGCTCCCATTTTTCTATTTATTTATTTTTAATTTTGTATGTATTGGGAGTTTGCCTGCACATGCTTGCAGTTTTCACAGAGGCCAGAAGAGGGCATCAGATCCCCCAGGACTGTAATTACAGAAGGCCATGAGACACCATGTAGGTGCTGGGAACTGAACTGAGATCTTCTCAAAGTACAGCCAGTGCCTTTAACACTGACCCATCTCGCTGGCCTCTTTTTTAAATTTAATTTTTAGTTTTCTGATGAGGGTGATGTCCCAGAGATAGAAGAGTTAAGGCTTGTACAAATACTTAAGCTAATAATTTGTAAGGCCACATTCATAGGTGCTGAGATTCCTCATTGGGAATTCCTGCTTGTTCTAATAGGAATATAGGCTGCTTCCACAAACATGCCAAGGTTGAGTACTTGGATGCAACAGTGTTGGAGGTGCAACCTACTGGGGGCACTTGAATGATGGAGGACGAGCCCTTGCGGACCAATGTCTTTCTTGATGGAGTTGGTTAGCTCCGTGTGTGAGTTGTTACTAAGCTGAGCAAGCCTTTCATGCCCCATCTCTTTCACATACATCACGTATCCTCTCACTCCGACCTCAGCTGTGGTTGTACCAGAACCTCAGAAGAAGTGGATCAGCTCAGGATTCTATATTCTTGGACTCCATGTTTGCAGCAGCAAGAGCTGTCAGCCAAATACACCGCTTTTCTTCATAAGTTATTCAGTCTCAGAAATCCTGTTTAAAGCAACAGAAAATGGACCAGGGTGTCACTCTGTGCCCTACAACAGTAGGAATTAGCCAAGCAGGTACTCGACTCAGGCTGTTGAAGGAGGCCGCTTGTTGGTTCCTGGCTGCTCGTCCCCAAAATAATCATACAGAAACTGTATTAATTAAATCACTGCTTGGCCTATTCGCTCTAACTTCTAATCAGTTATCTCTTACATTTTAATTTAGCCCATTTCTGGTAATCTGTGTATCACCATGTGGCTGTAGCTTACTGGGTAAAGTTCCATCTGGCTCCAACAGGGCCACACGGCTTCTTTCTGACTCCACCCTTCTTTCTCCCAGCATTCAGTTTAGTTTTCCCCACCTAACTGTGTTCGGTCCTGCTATAGGCTCAAGCCAGCTTTCTTTATTCATTAATGGTAATCACAGCAAAAAGAGGGAAATCCCACATCATCAGGCTGGCCAGGTCCATGGCTAGAAACCTTCCCAGAATCACAGACGTCAACAGGAAGAGGAACCTTTTCTAATTCCTCCTTTCATTTGTGGTTGTTGACACCATGACTCAGAAAACTCAAGTTCCTAGACTATTCAGTAAATCCCCCGGCAGCATTGTCTAACACCTTGGCATGTCTAGAAAGTCCTCAGATATCCTTTCTCCAAGGGGGTGACTTGGACTAACTCACTAGCTCATCCCAGATGACCCTATAACCTACCATTGTTCCCTCCATTGCCATTTTGGTGGAGGGAGACACATCCCTTTGCACAGAATTGTTGTGGTCCGTATTTTGAAAGGCCAGCAGCTCCATGCATGATGGATCACCCGACACACTTTATTAAAAGCCATTACAATCTCTAGCATTTGTCATATTAAAATATCTCCTAACAAATACCAGCTTGTTAGTGACTGGCTGTCGGGAGTCTAGGTTGGCCTTGTTTAGCTCTTACCTCGTCAGCTCCGACTCTTGCACTCAATCAAACTTTGGCAGCCCAAACCCCATATGGGTTTCCTAATGGATGCGAAACAGGTGGGGACAGCACGGCCGGCTGCAGTAGTGCCCAGAAAACGTAAAATGCATCAGCATTCACCCCCGCAGCACAAACTTGCTTCTGCGCCGAGAAAGTGGGACAAGAAGCAGAAGTAAATGAGCCGTCCCTTTTTGTGCAAATCATTACCAAGCTAAATGACTTTCAAAACTAAAATCAAACCCAGAGCAGCTTGCACCCAGCTCGCATGCTAATGCAAAGCAGCACGCTGGTAGTGTTTGTGGTTACGCACAGCCCAGCGCAGAAATCTTGATCAAAGCCTCCTGGCATCTGAAGTCATCAGTAACTCGACAGCCTATTTGGGCGAAAAGGGCTCCTTGCTGGCTGTCCTACATCAGGCCCACCCTGGAGACAGGCCCGACTCAAGCAAACAAGGCTGCCAGCGAATCGAGACCCCTCTTCTCGAGATCTGATGTAAGGTACCGGTGTGCAGTGACAGCCAGACGTAAGATCAGGTTTCATAGGAGGGTAGTGTGCACGCTGCTCATGCTGTTTGCATGCATGTCGTCTGTTGTGGCAAGACTGACGCAGAGACTCGGAAGAGTGGCCTCTGACCTATAGGAGATGGTGGCTGCCAGGCCAAAAGAGGAGTGTTGGCTCTAAGTAACCCGAAGAGGTGAATGCTGAGGCCAGAGAGAGATCTCGTGGCATGATTTCGGTTGTGTTCTTGCACACAGATTTCTGGGCTATGCAGTTGAATTATGGTTCACTGTTCCTTATCCTAAATGCTATTTGGGATTTCTTTTTTTCTGGTTTTC